CCGTCAGTTGACAAACTCCTAAGCCACGACTTCGCGCGTCATAACAGATTTAAGCGCATGAGACTTATTCTATGGAATCATGCATTTATAAAATAAGCATATCAAGGTATATTGTCGCTAATACTTTGCCAGCCCAACACCTGACTGGTCCTTACTGTGACGTCCTCAACACGACAAGATTGTACGCAAGCCTTCTACAAATTTGTTTGCGAATGCTCGAGATAACCGTATTTACCTTCTGAAAGCATTGGTAAGGCGTGACGAATTGGAATATTAAAAGTTGGGCGTCGAAGCCCTGGTGTGCGAATCTTTACTTCTATCCCAGAAGAAAGGTGGCCCAAGAAAGTAACTCACCATACCAAACGCCTTTTGCCCAGTGATTTAGAAAACAAGTAATAGTTAATGGATCCCAAGAAACCATGCATCTCAACATTCCCCAAGGATTCTAGGACTGCTTCACACTAGTGAGAAGTCCAATAAACAGTAAAAAACAATGAGCGGTAGCATAGTCTTGATTCACTAAGCCTCCAAAACACATTCAGTAGGCCAAGGTAAAGTGATTCACCGGGACAAAATGAGTTTTAAGCATTTTTGGGAAGAATACAACCACTCAGGTCGAAGACTGGACAACATTAATTATTTATATCTTTTATGATGCTTGCGACGCACCTCAAGTGTAAGCGACTTAAGAATAACACAGAGAAACCTTTCGGCGGCGTCTTAAGCAGATATGGTTTGTCAGTCGGCTCATTAAGAGAGGTAACGATAGATTTATTTCATAACATGCAAGTAAGTATACCATCTCCAAGCCAAAATTTAACATTTTATGGTATAATACTCTAAGAGCTTTCCATAAAAAATCTGCTTAGCGTCCTACAACCGAGACAAATAGTAAAGCATTTACGTCAGAAGCAATTAGCAGCAGATTTTTTGAACAAGTGCAATTGCTCATTTAGGGAAATTAGAGTTAAAAATGTTTAAGCAATCAATTAATATTAATTAGTGGAAAAGGAAGTGTTAAGGTATCAAAGAGGTCAGATTCTAGACTTAATTGGGGACCAAAGAGGGTAAACTGTGAAGGTGTTTGACGGAGACTAATGGCACTATCAGAGAGATACTCCCTGTTCTAATCTTTAAAGGACCTGTCCATTTCATTAAAAAGTACCATCCACGCTGATGGTGTTCGTCCACAGATAAGCGTCTAGGAAGTCTAGGTAAGCTAGTACTGCCAACCAGCGAGTTCCGAAATACGTTCTACCCACCGTCACAATGGTAAGCGTGTATGCCTAAACTCAGATTCCGCAGTCGACTCTGTGTCTTTATCCCCTTATCAGGCAGATATTAGAGTGAACAGCTGGATTAAATTGAAATAAGGGGAAAGGGTACAGTTGCTGTCGGAAAGAGACTGAGTAGTGTTTTAATCACATTAAGAACCCTCCTTAAGATGCAAAAAGGGCTACTGGGCAAGGCAGACACTCAATCAGAACTCTATCGCAAGCCGGTTGCTTGACTCGAACTATTTAGAGCACAGCTACGAGAAAGTGACGGCAGGTCCGCTGAAAACTACTTACATGGACATTTCCAGCCATCTTGGATTTCGAATACCAGATGTGAAACGAACTTCGAAGATTTTCGATTCGTTTACAGTTTGATTATTAACTTACTAGTATTCAGAGCATTCAGACTGTACGTGCACACATCATGATAGACGCCTCGCGTTAAGGCGAGTGCTTCCATGTTCAAGTGTTACATGGCAAACGCACAAAACTTTTACCCCTTACCGTCCAACATAATTTTTATTGTCATGGATTGCTTCGCGATTTCCAAGTCGACGTCGAAAATCTCCCCATCGGAGCTGGAAAGCCTAATTTTCTGCATCCTCTCTCAAATGTACGTACAATCGCGCGGACGAATAACTCAAATAGCACATTAAAACAATAAAATCAAACAACAAAATATCCGATATTTTGGAGGGAATCAAATAAAGTTCTCGATTAATACGGCTTATAATCTAAGTTGACAGGCATATTCAGAAAAATAAAACCCTATAACAGACTGCCAATACGCACAATGGTTGCAGCAATTGTCTCTGCTTGCTCGATTATGATAATAAGAATTTTTGACGTCTGTTTTCAAATTATAGCCCTTTTCCTTCCTTCGTATTAACTTCATGTGAGC